TATTTAGATTTTTACAGCTATGGTGAGAAACGTTTAAAATCTACAACAGCCCTGTCGCGTCCTTTCAGATATACTAATGATGCGACAAAAGAGGTATTTGAATTGACCGGTATCGGCACCCTGGGGATTTGGCAGTGCGTGCATGCACGCTCTGCAACCGTCTTCGATTCCATTCATTAGCCACTCGTAGGGAGCTATTTGACTAAGTGCATTGTTTTAAGATTTAAAAAGTAAAGAATATTTTATATTTTTATGTACGTTTCTTTGCAAAGCTATATTTAATTATAATTTTCATTAATAATTTAAAAAAGGACAAAATTCGCCATTTATAATTCTGTGTTTAAGACAATACAATATAATTTTTTTTTTAAAGTATATTCATATAATTGAAGAATATTTTGTATGTACCAGTACATCCACCACATATTTTATTTCACTGAGTAAGTTTTTATTATTTTATTTTTAATTGTAGCCCTTATATCGTGGCTAGCGATTCGGAATGTAATTGTGATATTAAAAATGCATTTAGAGAAGTCTACGGTTTTTACTGGCTTATCGAATAAACGATACGAATGGACCCTAAACCATCACTGACGCGCAATTGACTAATTGCCCCTGGATGTCGGCTTCTTACAGAAACACAGCTTCCCTATAGTCAAATGTCACGGCACGCCCCTGATAATTTGAATACAGTATTACGTGATATTTTTAAATGCAGAAACTTATATAAGGAATTTGATAAAAATGTATTATTGTCACCGTTGTTAGAGCCATCTTATTAAACTATTCTATTGTTAATGTTGACTATGTTATTGTTTTGGTTGTTATGTCTTTGTTTTCTACGTGTTCGTGTTGTTAAGAGGACCCGAAAAGTGCCGGATAAGCTCCTTCCCTCATATATTGTAACTTTATTAGAAATAAAAAAAACACGCTTTGGACTAGTCGCCATCCTTCTCTAGGGCAGGCGTAATCTTTGAGTTCCTGTTTATATAATGCATATTGTATTCACCTATTCTAATTGTTTTTTCATACAAATATTCAGAAATTACTTGTATCATTCTGTATAAAGCCTGTATTCCAATATCGTACTTGAAAATTCTGTATGAACATATTTTTTTTTTTTTACAAATTTTCAAACATTTCGTAAAATTCGTAACATTTATGTAATATTAAAACACACGAATGTAGCTTATAGATTTTCTTATAAACATGTAAATTCTATGGGAAATTTTATACTAAACTTATTCAGAACAAACCTTTGGGTTCGGCAGTGGATCCGCTGGTGTACATGATCAAAGCCAAGTCGTCGGAAGAAGGCGCTTCCAATTGGATATTTGAGCCTGAAAAATATATTTATTACTGTATTTAGAATTCTCTATTTCTATAGGCAAATTACTTCTTATATAACTAACTTAGCCTTATTATAGCCCATTAATTGGGTAGATAGTCTGATAAATTTGTCTGGTAAATTTCAATTTTAATAGTAAATTTCTTTAAAATTTATTGCAGGAATCTTTGAATCTTATAAAAGTAGATAAATAACTCTTGGAGGTGCAAGTTGACCGGTAACATAAAATCCTTTTTCAAGATATCGTAATTCAGAAATTTAGAGGATATTTGCGCAAGACATTGTCTAAATATTAAGTGGGCCACGATTTTATTCACCCGTTTTGAAGCTTAATAACTCTTGTGCCCTCTGTCAAAAATTTTTGAAATTTTGCAGGGATGTTTGTGCGTATGGGACATTGATGCCATTAAATTTTGGTGGTTAAAGGTCGAGGGGTGGAGAAATACAGGTGGGTCACGTGTCGTTTCTCGATGTTGTTCGAAATAAATGAAGAATTTACTCGTTATTAGCAAAGTCTATAAACATAAGGTCAGGACATCAATACTGTATTCCCTATTTTAATAAATCTGGTTCCTCTGTATATAATCATTAATTAACCATTACTTATATTAACTCTTAAATCAACACTCTTCTAGAACTGTCAACAAGAAAACGGAATAATTCTGCACCTTTGGCTGACAAATTTTTATAATTCGGTGCCGAATACCAAACCATTANTATTAAAAATGCATTTAGAGAAGTCTACGGTTTTTACTGGCTTATCGAATAAACGATACGAATGGACCCTAAACCATCACTGACGCGCAATTGACTAATTGCCCCTGGATGTCGGCTTCTTACAGAAACACAGCTTCCCTATAGTCAAATGTCACGGCACGCCCCTGTTTTAAATAGAAATTTATGTAAAATATCGTTTCTTTGAGGACAAATTATTAGTGTGGTATATTGAAGTATTTGTAATTAATTACTGTATATGTGCCAGTGATTATGATAGTCTGTGTCTGTCATTTTTTTTTTGTTTTGAGATGTATTTAAAAATATTTTGGCTCTATGTTGCAAAATATTTTGCACAAAACTTGCTCTTATAATGAGAATCTTTCCTATGATTATAAAATTTTGAACAGCTTGTAAGTAAAGGTTTTTTTAAATCTTAAATGACAAACCTTTGTTATAATTAATGTTTAATTCTAAAAGTTACTTATACCAACAAAAACTAATTAATTTTAATAAAGAGTAGTGATGCAATGAATAGTATATTTGGCCAGGAGTGTGGCCAAATAGCCAAATATTCAGCCAAACTATTCAGCTTGATTAATGCACGTACAAAAATTGGTGCACAAACCGCATTATGGCAAGGATTGCGCATCCTGCTCTCTATTGGCCCATTGTCACTCTGCTTCGCCAATCACATTAGTTCATGACAGTTGTAGTGGACAGACACAAGCATCATGCTAGTATGTGATAAGTGATGATATCAAATGTGGATAACAATGAAATGTCCTACACATGTAAATAATGGAAAAAGAACAGAGAAGGACTGCGAAGTGAAAATGTGAAAATAAATATGAAATTGAGTTGATAACATAATCAAACAATTCAAGGCAGCTTATTGGTGCAAAATTCGCAGCCGTCAATGCCAAATAATTGTTCTCATAGATTTCAGAAAGCTAAATGCTTGTAATGAAAGTCACTTAGCATGCATGGGCAAAAGCCTGGGGCCATTCAGGCTACCAAGCTGTTTGGAACTTCAGTTATGATATATAAATTTTGTACAATGAAACAAAAAAGTTAATTTAATTTTCAAGTTTATAATAAGGGTTGATTTCATAATAACGCTTTACAGATCATTAATTATTATTTTTTCACATTTTATGACCTAAGTTTCAATCTAATGTGCCCGTGCAGTAAAAATTCATACAAATTTTTTACCCTTTTCACCCCTTTAGGGTTGAATTTCGTAAAAACTTTTCTTAGCATGCCTAAACTTTACAAAAGGAACACAGCCTCACATTTTTAAGTTTCTAGCACCAGTCATTTTGGCTCTGCATTAATTATCCTATCAGGACTTGTTCTTTTATATATGAGTATATAGATGACTAAACTACATAATAAGTAGGTAGTTTTCATTTGATTTGTTACCTTTTTTTTGATATCTTAAAAAAATAACTTAGTTATATTACTTTTCCTTTGATCTTTTACATAAATAAGCAAAAAATTGTGCTTTCTCGAACTTGAAATATATGTTCAGCATTAATAAAAGTTACCAAAATGATTAATTTACTGTGTTTTAGTTATTTCTTACTCCTGTTTTTAGGTATTCAGTATTCGGCCAAATACCGAATACCTAAAAACAGTATTCAGTTACTATTCAGTATTTGGCCGAATACTGAATAGTAACCGAGTATTCGTTGCATCACTAATAAAAAGACAAGTTAGAAATAAACATTTTACTTATTATTGTCTCAAAATTAATCAATGATTTAAACCATTGATATCCTGAGATCAAATACAAAACTAAAAGAAAAATAATAAAGTTATTGATGACATTTTGATCATAACAACAGTTATGAATAATTGTAATATTATTTAATAATGACATGGATTAATTACTTATAAATAAAATAATTGTCACTATTGCCCTCTTTAATACTCAGATTTCTAAATTTTGATATTTTCAATGCTTTAAATATTCAGGTAAATTGGTAAGATGTATGGCAATAAATCTAACATATCTTTATATTTAATTTTTTTCCACTGGTCTAATAATGGTATATAATGGAAATAATTGTATATTCTGACATACTCTTGGTCTTACCCTGCTGGGAGGATAATTTAAAATACAAAAGCTGACATTGTTGTCTAAAGAGGTTTTATAAAACATTTTTTATGGGAACTTTCTTAATAATCTTATCCACTGTATTTTCAGCCAATAGACTCTCCCTCTGTATTTTTTTGTTGTTTTCTCCAGTTTCTTTGTAAGAAAATCTTTCTGTAGCATTTGTTCTACCACAAATGGGTTTTTCTTCTGCACTTTATTATAATCTTTAAGTGTAATAAATAATTCATAATAATACTGTGTTCCTTCTGAAATACTTATTAGCAAATGTAACATTTGGAATAGACATATTATTTTATATATGTAGCTTGGAAGAATAAGGGTCAATATCATGGACATTTTGCCTTTGACATTGGCCCTTATTCTTCCTTGTTGCAGAGATTACATACGTACAGTACATATAATTGTGTGTATGTGTGTGGGGGTTGAGGGGGGAGAAATAAAAAAAACTCAATGAGCGATAATAGGTGATATATATCGTCATCGTCTCCCTTGCCATTTGGACTGTCAAGCGGTAACAATCAATGACATGTGGAAGCAGTTGAGTCAGAGATAGATGCTTTGTTTACAAACAACACAACCATTTATTAAACACGAAAGAAGCTTACAAGATTTCCGCGATCTTGGAAGTTCTGCGGCGGCTGCAGCCTCTGGGTCTTCCTCTCCTTTCCAAGTCCCATTTTGAAGGAGTGTCCCTTGTTCGCGAATGAACCATTCCATCATGTCTCGACAACTCCGGGACGATGTGGTCGACTTCCGTTGATGGAAAGATGTCGACCTGAGGTTGGGAGATGGAGACAAAGATGGGTGCGAGACACACACACAACAACACATCCGTCACTTGGAACTTTCAGGAGAAGAAGCCATCGCATCCTTGAATTTCCAGGGTTTTATCCATTTTCTCTCAGATTCCCCTTTCCGATTGGTCTCTCCTCATCACTTGATGACAATTTGAAACCTTTTGGGGGTACGGGAGAGGTCAAAATCGAAGTTTAATTCGATCTTCAACCGGAAATGGTCGACGAACTTACATTCTTCTATTGTTTAAAAGTTAGCGTCGCGTTTTCATAAAAATCTATTTCTAACTACTATATATTTTTTCTCTAAAACAATTATTTTAACGCGAATTTTAGTGAGGGTTCGGACCTGTCCAGAGCCTCACATGTGCATATACAAGGTCTGTTCAAAAAGTATTGGACCTTATTTTTTTCCGCGTAAACCAATGATGCGAGAGAGGCCTCCTTCGGTGGAGTTGTGGAGGGGAGACCTTATTTTTTTCCGCGTAAACCAATGATGCGAGAGAGGCCTCCTTCGGTGGAGTTGTGGAGGGGACAGTCATGCACAGCCCTGAATTTTTTCCCGCCTGCAGCAGCTATATTACATCAAATTTTGCCAAAAACCTTGGCGATACCCGAGTGTAAACCATTTGCAAGATTCAGCAGGCTTTCGGGGACGATCCTCGAGGCCAAAAAAAGCGCGGCAGGTCCGCAGCAATATCAAAGGTCATGTTGACAGTTTTTTCGACTCTCGTGGGGTGGTGTGTCGTGAGTACGCACCACAAGGCCAAACCATCCCAAAGGAGTACTACCAGGAGGTCCTTCGTCGTCTTTCCGATACAGTGCGATGCAAACGATGGGATCTGTGGTCGATCAAAACTTGGCAGCTCCATCTTGATAACGCATCCGCCCATTCTGTGCATCTGATTCGGGCTTTCGTCGCCAAACACAATACTCCTGTGGTTCGTCACACTCCGTACTCTCTCCACATGGCTCTGTGTGACCTTTGGCTATTTCTCAAGCTGAAAATGCCGCTAAAAGGAACCCAAATTTAGTCGAGAGAAGACATCATGCGAAATGCGACGGACCGGCTGATAACCATTCCAAAAGATGCAGCAGTGTTTCCAGCAATGGCAGGAACGCTGGGAGAAGTGTATAGATTACCAAGGAGACTACTTTGAAGGGGATTAGGGTTTTGTACCTCAAAGTCAATAAATTTATTTTTGCCGATCAAAGGTCCGATACTTTTTGAACAGACCTTGTATATAACAAAATTTACCCAAACCACTTTCTGATACCATAATAAAAGTAATTAAATAATTATTTCTTTACTTACAAAACAGAAATTGAAAAGATAGTAAAATACTTAGAATACTGTCAAAAAAATGGGATTTGAATTTTGTATAAAAGCAAAATTACCAAGCCACCTAAAATAAGTATAATTTGTAACTATTAATAAACATGATTTGACATTATTGAAATGCATGTAGATGCAATTCTAAACATATAATAATAATTTATTATTTCTTGAAATAGGCCACTGTCATAATCATAATCACTGGCACATAACAGTATTAGTTGGCATTACAGTATCAGTATTAATACAGAAATATACTGATACAGAATTTTGCTATAAATTGTATCACCAAGCAAACACCATAAATTCTATATAAATAAAAAAAATTGCTGAAAAACAAACATTTTTGGCTTATTTAAGAAGCCTTCTACTGGTGTAGCTACTGAAATTGAATTTACGAGATTCTAAAATGAAATGCATCATGCATTTTATGATATATTACAAAATATGAACAAATTTTGTAATATGTCTTAGAACACTTCTTAAATAAGCCAAAAACATTTGATTTTATAATAAAACAGTTGCTGGAAAAGTATTTATGATGTTTGCTTGGTGATTCAGCTTGGACATTTGGTTATTGCTTATATGTATAATTTTTAAAGTTTTCATAATGAAAATTTTGATATTGATATTCTAAAATATAATAATGTCAATGGTCATATGACCAAGGCAGTTAACGTGTCAGCCTAGTGCTTTGAGGGTCCTGGGATCAAATCCAGGCAAGTGATGATGTGCTTTGTGAATTTTTCATGGGTGGTCAGTCTAGGATATGTCAAGGCCCCATCCCTCACCACTTGGCCTTCTTCATTGTGGGCCTGGTTGACCCATAGTTTGGCAAAAAGACCTCCTTAGTGCCCACAATAAACATAGTGTCTAAAATGTCTTTTAGAGACTATTTATGTGTATTCTGTTGACTGTTTACAGTAAAAAATAAAAAATACTGATAGGCATAACTGGTTGAATTTATTTCTAATCAGTCATAATGTAATCAGCACCTCTTAAGTATCCATAAAATCAAAACTTAATATTTAATTAATTTCTCACAAATGAGCAAAAACTTTTTATTTAAGTTGAAATATTTTATTTTTGAATTAAATATCATTCTACAAACAAATATTAGTTGTATAATCAAATAAGTTTATACCAACATTATGTATATAAATATAAATATGGAAGGAGATTGGAATGATTTGCAAACAGTAATGCAGATCTAATATCCTTATAACTTAAAAACATTTCACAATTCTGTTTAAAGTATTAATTCAAAAAATACTTTGTCAATATATCAAATATATTATAAAGAATAAATGTATGCCAGTTTCAAAAATATCCCTGTAATATCCTTTGATTAAATTTGATATTGTATTTGTCACAGATAATATAATGTTAACAGAATAATCTGTTAAGGTCTTGTTTTAAATAAGAAAATACCCATCTGATTTAAAGTACTTAATTTTAACATGAGGTATATACAGTTTGGGTATCACTTTTATTATATGAAAATAAAACAAAATTGATATTTATAATTGTTGATAAGTAAACCTTTATCAGAAAGGTGAAATGCTATATAGTTCCATAAGCTATACCATAACCAGCAATTGCTAATTGTTCTTGAGTAACTTCTTCATAACTTGGTGGGGGCGATGATCTATCACAGATTTCTGCATCGTCGATATCACTGTTATAGCCTGAAAACTGGCCATTGCAGTTTTCGTTTGTCGTTAAGTGAGAAGTTGAACATAACCCTTGATCAGAGAATATGTTACTAGTAATATCTATGTCAGAAGAGTATTCTGTATAGTTATTATTAATTATTATGTTCATGTTTCCAATTTCAATTTCATTATTATTAACTAAGTCTGTAGCTAAAGTTGATGTTTCAGGAAAATTTTCATTTATGTCACTATTTATTGTGTTTTCAGGAACAATAGTTGTTTGATTAGTATGATTTTCTACAGGATTATTATTATTTGATTCATCATTATTTATTACATTTATGGATTCTGGTAATGGTTCCATTATGGGATCTAAACATGTTGGAATGTTTTCTGAAACAGTGTTTATATTTGCATTATCATCTATTAATAAATTAATTTCATCTTCAGGTAAACTTGAATCTGTGTTATCCATGTTGCACTCTGTAGTTATTAAATCAACAGATTCTTCACTCTCTAAAGATTCAGACTGAGTTCCTTCTGGTGATGTATTAGATTCTTCACGTTCCTGAAATCCTTGTTCTTCATTGGTTTCAGTAGGTAAAGGATCACAGTCTGTAGTACAAGAGGTAGTCTGTTCTGGATTTTCTGTTTGGCAACCTGAAGCTTCAGTAGCTAAGGAATTGTTGGGAATTGATTCATTTTCTATATTTATTGTAGTAAGTGTTTTATTAGCAGGTTGAGAAGCTGTTTGAACTTCTGTTTCTGTTCTAGAAGGTATATCAACTGTTACTTGGATTTCTTCAGGTGGATTATCTGTTTGGCATTCACAGTCTTCCTTTATTGGCACTGTTATAATATTTGGTCCTTTGGAAATGATTCCACTAAAAAGAAAATTAATTTTACATTAATAATTGAAAATATTAAATTAGGATATATATATATATATATATATAATATCCTAATTTATATCCTAAAGNTATATATAACTTTTTGAATTTTTACAAATAGTTACTGCTAATGACTTATTGAAATTTAATCTAACTAAAATAAATCTGGAAATTTATAATTTTAACTTTAAAAGTAAGAGAGCTCTAATTCATGTCATTTATAAAATTTTTTGATATTTAAATTTTATTTTGGCAACTATCCATAATTTTCTAGAAAAAATTTTCATTCCAATCTCACTAAATCCTTTTCATTTATATGCTCAGTAATTCTAAAAAGAAAATGCTTTGGAAATTGTTTATTTGTGGAATGTTTACAGAGGTGCAGAATGTAATACAGGTAACCCCCGTATAATACGGCACTTCTATAGCATGGATTCACTCTAACACGCTTCGAGAATTGGGAACATCCCCCGTATAACACAGTGCTTTTATAGCATGGGTTCACTCTAATACGGTTCGGGAATTTGGTTAAAACCCTGGTAAAACAAAATGTAATAAAGGGTGCATTCTTCTATATTTCCGCGTAACCGCGCGAGCATTCTAATTTTTTTTGTGGCTACTCTGAATGATCTTTCAACAAATAATTCATTTAATGGTTAAATTATACAATTGGGACCCTTATTTTGCCTCTAAAAGCTCATTTTAGAATTATAGATTCCTCCACAGGATAATATTGATAGTGCAGGCGCCGCCATCTTTCTTTCATCATCGTTCCTAAATGCCTACAAACAGCAGTGCACTCCTGTTGCAGAGCGACCGCTTTTAACGAATGCACCCACAAACTGTTATCAGTTGACGATGCTCACGCTGAGATCATCATATAAAATGAATAATCCTCTGGTAAAATATTTACTTAAATAATAAATAAGTATTTTACCTATGAAAAAAATGAATAATAAATCCGATTTAAATAAGGATTTAACAACATGTTTTTTAAATTTTGGAACATAACTTCTCTTTTCGCATTAGTTCTTTGTTTCGTATAACACGGATTCGCATAACACTGCAATTTTTTTGAACATAACTCCCATGTTATACGGGGGTTACCTGTATATAACAAAAATGTTCAATGAGTTGTCTATTCTTTTACATGAATGTAAGTTAAATATTTGAATCAGTTATAGGAGAGAATGAGAAAATCAGAGAAATGTGCACATTTACTAATGTAATAATTACAAATTCATCTTTTCCCAGAATTAATAATGAGCATATATTATTACAATAAAGAATAACTGACAAAAAAGTCACAGCCTAAACACTGCATTTATTGAAAAGTTCTGCAATTAAAACTATAAACATCTAAATAATAATAATACACAATGTTTTGATCTTATAGCCTTAATTTAAAAAACTATCTATTTATATATTAGAAAGGAAACAGCACTAACATTTCAAGTCAAGGATTAAAATATAATAATAGTAATATGGCAAAATATAAATAAAGCAATTATCAGAGTTGTAACAAATTTTATTAATTCTTTTTCCCATTAATCAAGAACTCTAATCTGCCATTAGAGCTTGATAATTCACTGTATAAAATGTTCATTTGGTTGCTTTATCATACTGATTTTCATAATTTAAGCAACTTATATCTAGAATCTCTTTAATTTCATGCCTGGATAAAAATCTTTCTAATGGTTTCTGCTAATTCAGAGAGTAATTAATTAATCTAAAATTCTTTTCATTTTTTATTCATACAATAATTATTACAGTAAAAAATATGGAAAATACTAGATTTATTGCTTTTTTACAAATGGAGTTATACATTTAAATAAGTTAGGCAAATTAATAATGGTATTCTTAATAAACAACATCAAGGTCAATTTTATTTAAATAAAACAATAGCTTTGTATGATCACTTTTTTACAACATTAAATGATGAAATTCTCCTTCAAAATACAAGCTATATTTTTGTAAGTATATATAAGTTAAACTGAGTTCTCCAAGGAGAAAATGAAATTCATTCAATTAACATATTAAAAATGATCATTTTTAGTTTTAAGTAGCAAAATAAACTAATTAAAATTACTTTCTCAAATTTTAAAATATAGTCTTCTTGATATCATATAAAACAATAACTTGATTCTTGAAAAAGAACTATTAAAAAATTCAAATTATTCATATTTGAGTGCTTATATATTTAGATTTATTATTAGGTTACCTGATTGTCCTAGATAGAAACTTCAGTTTCTACTTTTAATATTTTGAATGAAAAGAAATAATACAAGGATACACTAAGAATTGTAACTTATTTGAAAAAATTTTCTGAATCTACTGTGTGGAAAATAAAAAAAAAAAAAAAAGGAAAAATTTGCATTAAACTAATATATAAAAGGAAATATTAAAACAAATAATGTAGTGTTCTTGTACTATTAAATTTTTAAAAGTCAAGCTTTAATAGCAGCATTTATTTACAAAATTAACATTCCATTCCATTTTCAGGAGGTAAGAAAAATGGAACAATTCTATGTTTTTTCTTTAGATGATAAACCACACAATTCATAAATTTTTATGGTCTAATAAAGTTCAACTTTGAAAAACAGAAATGGGCGTGTTTTTTAAAATCTATTAATAATTTAAAGAATTAAAGTTTGCTGTTGAAATTCCAAATTTCTAAGTATAAAGCAGAACAGAAGAATGTAATTCTCTAAGTCACCAAAACTTTATTTTAAAAAAATGAACTGTAAATTAAATGCAGAAGCTTTTTGATTAAATAAACCAATAAATTTGTAAAAAAACAACAAAAAATAAACAGTTTTCATGTTAATTCAATAATATAAAATGTCCATTAATATTTTAAAGTTCATTGTATAACCTTATTAATATAGGCTAATTAAATAATGGACATTTTTTTCATTGATTTTGATATTTTATATTATGACAAAACTTTTTATATGGTATTCTGTTGGTATTGGCTGCTATTATCCAGATGTTACATAGTTGAAAGCTTTTTCTTTATAGTAGAGGCTTTCCTATCAGAAATACACAAACAATGCAGTGTGTACTTCCTCCACTCCCTGCCAACTCCAAGCTAATTTATTATTACTTTGATACTGCCATGCTATCCAGATGTTCTTTTGTATTAAAGAATCTCACTAAAACTAACTATAGTTTTCAGATAATGATTTTCATTATATAGTAAAATATAATGAAAGTTAATATATAATAATTAAATCACTCAAAGTATAATTTATAAGCATTTATTTTGTACAGCTTTATCTAATTATTGATCAATGATATTTATTTACTGTGAAATATTGCTGACATTTTTAAATTAATTTTATTACAATCAAATGATTTCACTTCCACATATGCCACAAAAAATAAAATCAGAATATAATTTATGGAACATTTATTTAAAAATATATTATCATCACCTGAAAAACAGGCAAACTTCTTTTACTGCCAGGTCAGCATTGATTTATGTTAAACTCTTGTTTCTAGTTTAAAGTAGAAGTCTGTAATCTGCCATTCATGGATATTTGCATTTACCAACTTTAGTGAGACTTCATTGGGGAAAATGCCCTATATTTATAGTAGTTAATACATTATGCTGATTTGAAATTAAAATTTTGAATCAAAATATTATGCAAAGTTAACCCCCCCTTTTTTTGGCTTTGTAATATATCAAAACATTTATTATGAAAAGTGTGATTAGTATAACCTTCTCCTAAGAAAGAGAAAGAAGAAAAAATGAATAAAAATGAAAATATCTTAGTATAATACACACAATACTTCTTAAGGAAACTCCTTAAACATCAAGAAAAATCATTTGACTAGATTTAAGTGGAAAATTTTTAAAATTATTTTTATATTTAATATATTTTTGCTTGTAAAAAATGTTTTAGATATATACAATACTGGTCAATTACAGTTCAGAAATTCTATTAAACTTCAGATTTAGTTTTATGCAAAGTTTTCTATATTGCAATATTTATTTTTCAATTAAATGTGTGTCCCCATTATTGTAAAAAATTGTTAAATATAAGCTATATATACATTTCAGAATAATTTATGGGAAGAAAAAAATTGTGAAGTGAGAATATTAGAATGTTTTCTCAAATTATTTTAAAATGTATGTGAAAAGCATAGCAGCTGCATTTTGGACTTTGTTCAGTAGACTTGTTAAAGGTTCTCTTTAGTTATATTTCCAAATAAAAATATCCTTAGAACAAGTACACTTTCATATTATTGGCACTAATAATCATTTTTGAGTTTCACTTCAAATATAAAATTTGTAACTTTCAATAGAAGCACTGTGTGAAAGAATTGTCTTGACCTTATGTTACTTAAAGAAAACACTGAATATTAAAAAACAAATTTAGTGTTTTTTAATATTTAATATTAGAAAAACAAATTTCTAATTTTAGTGTTTTTAATATATGTCCTTCTGTAGTGATATGAATAAACTCATAAAATACATTTATGGCCTTTGTACTATCAAAGGCCATAACATAATGCATTTTAGATTGACCTTTCTCACTATTAGAAAAATTTTAGATTCAAATCATAACTGTTCTGTAGATAACATCATTTTAGTCTTTAATGATGATTTTGAACTCCACTATAACAATAATCATACAAACAATATAAATATGACATTGAGTGTAAAGTGGGACATTGAAAAAGCGAAGAACAGCAATGATTTCTGCAAACTGATAGAAAAGTAGGAATTTAAGAACCATCCCAAATTTAATGTGAAATCAATTTTTTAGTTTCTAAACCTAAAACGATTTTTATTGGCAATGTTACAATTCATAAAACAAAAATGTAAATAAAGTGAATGAGTTTTAAAACAAAGATAAAAGAACATAGAATATATAATGTAGACTAATATATAGGCAGTCCTCAACCTTAAGATATGTATACAAAAATAGAATGTCTGAAAGTCAAGCAATAGAATTACATATTATAAAAGGAATTTGTTTCCCAGA